AGACTTCCACTCTCATCCAGCATGTCGCCAGAACCTGCGCGAAATCCGTAGTATATTGTGTATAGCACTTCCGCAGAATGTCCCATATAACTATTTATTATAAGGTTGTATTCGCACATATAAGGTTAACACTCCATCTGTAGTTTCCAAATGGTATGTCGGAAAAAATATCGTCTGCAACAACCAAAATTCTGATGCAACGTTGACCAAAAATCCAACGAAAACCGTGAAAAATCAGGATTCTGTGCAGGCGCAGTACGTTCTGCTGACGTGCTCTCTCAGCCCTGATTTCCCAAAGTCAATATCAGGACTCCCGTTCAGTCCTCAGTCGACCAGTAATTAGAACTCCATATCAAGATTGCATGATTGAAGTAGAATTTCCTGCGGTACAAAAAACCATGCTGTGAACTATGGCCGACCCATGTACCTTGGTGTACGAATCAATTTGCAAAAAATTTTGAATCAAGAATGGGGCCATAATACCGTATATGTTAAGGTTTGAGATGCAATAAGAAATGTGTGCAATGAAGACTCCACAACTAATTACCGTTTTTTCTTTACAGGGGACCCGGCTAACGACCCAAATGCTTCAGGAGATGCTTACAAGACTCTGTTTGTGGCCAGAATTGTGAGTGTTGCCATGGTTGATATATCTTTCTTCCTTACCCAATAAGTTATACTCTCGTTTTCTGTAAACCATTCGTGTCCACTATAGAGATATTTAGTGAAAATGACTATCACAACATCTAGATAGTACAGTATAACACAACAATGTACACCATGTTATTATGGGTTCACCAGAAGTGGTGGTGAACCCATATTGCTTTTTCTGATGTTTCTCCTCCTCCTGCCATATCTTTAAATGGATTCAGCTTCTTCATTTTAGGGCCTAAGGTCCTGAAATTTGGTATGGAGGTACAGTGGGCAAATACCCCTAGGCGTTTTTTAAATTTTTGTGATACAGGCTTTTAGAATGGTTTTATTTGAGTTTTTTGGCTGTGTTATAGCAAATGTATTACTGTGTTAGTGTGCCGTGTTTTGACCACGTCTGGGCATGAGTCATCACAATGGAATGCAGGGCATCAACCAATAGGCATGCAGCTTTCCTCTATACTTCTTGCTGATTGGCTGTTGGGATTTAACTTGATTAACACCCGCACAGAGCATTTCCACCTGCACAGAGCATTTCTTGCTGATTGGCTGTTGGGATTTAACTTGATTAACACCTGCACAGAGCATTTCCATACTGACAGTATGTCTTTATTCAAGTGTTTTGGTAGGTATTTCAAGCTTTTCTGCTCCAGCATTGGAATGCGGGGCATGAACGTTTTTTATTTTATTTTGAAAATCAACAGTTTGCATTATGCAATTAAAAATCCTAACCAATAAAGTAGGGAATAGCTATCCAACTGTTGTTTTAGTTGTATGTTACTTCATATTATAGTTATATCAATGTAAATCATTGTTTTCCCTTGTGTTTCTCATTCTTTCCCTGCCATGTGGTAAAATGTGGTGAACCCATCGCTGTATTTGCTCCAAAGCAAATATTGGCCTTTCTAGTTTATATCCACTTTTTCAGTCCAGGCCATGTCTAGTTTTCCATTAATTGATAACCTTGGTATCAGGCTTTTAGCTAGGGGGGCGTCCGGGCGTCTTTTGGACGCCCTGTACTGAAAATAATAAGAAATTGGACGCCCTACTTTTTTGTAGGACGCCCTAAAGACGCCCTATTTTTTCCGCCGGCGTTTTGTCCGGTAACCTTGCTGAATGTGTTCAAAATTCGCCGAATCTGAGCTTTCCAGCGATGTTTACGCCGCCATATTGAATTCAGGAGAAAGTCTCGCGTAATAACGTTTTGTTGACATCTCGCAAATCGCGAGACTTGAATTCCATTGGTTGATTTTTCCGTGACGCGGGTGGCGGAGCGCTGTCATTGGTTGTATGTTTCATTCCTGCCGCGCGGTGAAAGAAATCGGAGGTAAGTTTGTGTTTTTCTTACAATGTTTACCGTAGAATAAGTTTTTCGGAGTTTTGGGGCTTCTTTGGTGCCAGAAACTGTCGGTAATCGGGAAAAAACAGCATCGGAAACGTTAGCACGACGCAACCGGCGAGAATTGAGTGGGGAGGGGGGCGATCGGCTCGACGCGGAATCTACAAGTTTTTGTCAAGTTAGCGATCGAAATTTCTACGTCAGAAAATTTTTACTCGGAAAATGTCTATGAATGGATGTTGTCTATGGAAAACAATGTGAATAAATGCCACGGTCGCCATTTTTACGATTGTTAATGCCGTTTGTGACATGGAAGCTAAAGGGTACATGAAAATATTGACGTTTTGCATTTTGAATTTTCTTTTGCCGTAAGCGCCTGCAGGCGCGAGTTTTTTTAAAGGGCAATCCGGGGGAATGAAAATGTTGAAATTTGTAATGCTCTCAAACGCTATGTCCTGCATTTTGTTTTGCAAATTTTGAGCAATAAAGCAATGTAAGTTTTTTTCCTTTGTTACAGAATTTTTATTAAAAGTATTGAAGTTTTTTTTAACTTTTTTTTCCCTTCAAGTACGACGTTTCGACGAGGTGAAAAATGAGGAAAAGAGGAAGAGGGCAAACAACCATCTCCCGCTTCTTCCAGAAGAGTAATCATGTAAGATCTTTTTTTCTTGTGTGACTCTTAATAGGCTTGGAATGTCAGAAAACTCACTAGAAGCTTTTTTTTTTCATGAATAAATACTTGTCTAGTATTTTGTAACCAAGGTGGTAAGGCTGGCTTTGTTTCAGACTGATCACAGACAGAAGTCTGGCAATGTAGACAACAGACACAGTCTTTGGCATTTGTCACTTGCATGATATCCATTGATGTACAGATTTGTCAAAGAGCCGGATTAGCATCAAAGCGTCTGGGATTACCATTCCCTGGTAGCATCAAAGAAGACAATAATTATCACATAAGTTAAAACATATTGATGAAAAGGTGTGAAAGTTTGTGCAAAAACAATGATGGTCACGTATAAAAACACATTTTCATGTCTCTTACCATTATGATAGTGTCAGAAAATTGGAAGTTAGGGAAGAAGAAAAATGATTTATTAACTAAAAATTATTTTCTTATTAGGATCCCCCTGCCCCTGCAGCAACCCAGGAGCTCCCTGCCCCTGCAGTAGACCCCCCTACCCTGGAGGAGCCCCCTCCCGTAGACCCCCCTACCCCGGAGGAGCCCCCTGCCACTGCAGTAGACCCCCCTACCCTGGAGGAGCCCCCTGGCTGCTCATCTGACAGCGAGAGTGAGGAACAGTCTGACTCCCCTGCACCAAAGAGGAAGAAGACCTCTCCCTCCGCAGTGGACCCCACACCCTTGGAGGACCCCGCTGTCCCTGCTGCCAGTCTTACACTGACTAGTGACAGCTCGTCCGACACAGAGAGTGAGCCACAAAAGAAGAAGGGAAAGCAGAAGACAACTGTGAAAAAGGGAAAGCAAAAGACAACAGTGAATTTGAAGAAGGGAAAGCAGAAGTCAACAGCGAAGAAGGGAAAGCAGAAGTCAACAGCGAAGAAGGGAAAGCAGAAGTCAACAGCGAAGAAGGGAAAGCAGGAGACTGACAGCCCATCTGACATTGACAGCGAGAGTGAGGAACAGTCTGACTCCCCTGCACCAAAGAGGAAGAAGACCTCTCCCTCCGCAGTGAACCGCACACCCTCGGAGGACCCCGCTGTCCCTGCTGCCAGTCTTACACTGACTAGTGACAGCTCGTCCGACACAGAGAGTGAGCCACAGAAGAAGAAGAAGAAGGGAAAGCAGAAGACAACGGCAAAGAAGAAGGGACAACAGAAGACAGCGGCAAAGAAGAAGGGAAAGCAGAAGACAACGGTGAAGAAGAACTTCTGCGAGAAGTGGCTGAGCATGCCGGAATTTGAGGGATGGTTGGCGTTTGATGGCAGTGCCATGTACTGCAAGTGGTGCAAAGAGCAACGCCGACATGGAACCAAATGGGCAACATCTGGGATAAGAAGGAATTTCAGGTACAGTGCATGTATTGTTTACTTTCACAAAACATGAGTAAGCTGAAGTACCTTTATTTAATATTTTCTTTACTTAAACTGCATAGTGAATGAATGAGTGAGTGAGTGAGTGAGTGAGTGAGTGACTGTCTGACTGACTGACTGACTGACTTAAGCTACTTGCATTGAACTACATAGTATTTTTCTTATTTTGTGTTCAGGTTGCAGACCATAAGGAAGCATCGTAGGTCACCGATCCACGAACTCTCGGAGGCGGCAAGACAGGGAACCCAGGCGCCAGTGTTCCAGAGCCTAGCCCGAGCAAAGGCCAAGAGAGAAAACGCGGTGGTGGCAGCACTGAGGACAGTTTACTGGATTGTCACTGAGGAGGTGGCAAACAGGAAATATGAGTAGGTATCCTTTACAGAACTGATAACAGATTTATGTTTGATGATGAGTCTAATTCTCAATTGAGATCTGATTGTCTCTGACTGTCTTGACTGTCATTTTCAGGAGTCTTCTCGAGCTGCAGAGGGAGCAGGGGGTGCAGGCTGTAAAGGACCTGAATGCTGGGAGAAACGCCACACACACCAGCCCCACCACATTCAACCAACTCCTGAAATGCCTCAACGACGTGGTGGAGGGTCGAGTAACAAGAGAGATCCAGGCCAGCCCCTATGTTTCTGTCGGGATCGATGAGTCGACCGACAGGAGTGCTGAAAAGCACATTGTCTTGGTCATCAGATACGTCCGCATCCGTACCGCCGAGCTGGTGACAACCTTCCTGAAGTGTGACAAGGTGGAGGATGGCAAGGCAGACACTATTTATAGGACAACGCTTGCCATCCTCCAGAACTACAACATTCCAGTGAGAAAGGTCAGTTGATTCCATGAATGAACCATGTATCACAACAATTCTGAAATGACCATTGCCCAGTTTGTCTTTAATTGATAATTGTGCAGGTGGCACTAGTACTGGGACTGATTCTTTTAAATGTTTGTGCTGAATAGGTACTAGGACTGGGGATGGACGGGGCAGCAGTGATGTCCAGCGACCTGAATGGGGTCACAGGTCTGCTGCACAGAGACAACCCATACACTGTGGCTGTCCACTGTGTTTGCCACAGACTCCACCTGGCGGCTTCACAGGCGGCCAAGGACATCCCCCAGATGAAGTCTGCCAGTCTGTTGGTTGACAGCATCTATAACTATGTGATGAAATCACCCAACAGACTGGCAGAGTTCAAGGCTATGGTAAGATATGAACAAATTGAATGACACCATGGCGACATGTAAACCCCTGTGTAAATAAACAAAAATGAATGACTTTAAGTTAAAGTTAAAGTAATATTCTAACAGTGAATTCAGAAGTACTTCTACTGTGGCTTATTGAATTCTGTGCTCTTATTTCAGGTGGATGTGCTTGGAGAAGACTACATCAAACTGAAGCACGTCTTCGAGATCCGTTGGCTCAGCATGGGCGAGGCCATCCAAAGTGTCCTGCGAAACTACAGAGCGCTGGCTGTGTACACAGAGGAGCAGGCAGCAGCAGGGGACCCCACTGCCATCGGCCTTCACCAGCAGCTGACAAGCTACCTGCCAGTCGCCCTCCTCCACCTGCTTGCAGATGTGCTGGATGCCACAAACCATCTCTCCAGGCTATTCCAGTACAGGGACATTACATTCTCTAGTCTCAGAACACAGGTACAAACTTAGATTGTTCTCTGTAACTGTTTTTACTATTCTGCATTATCTTGTATAAAACTGTATGTATTTTTTTCTTGTTTTACAATTAACCCTTGGGCAAGAACTTGCAATAAACTATTTACATATATACTGTATAAGAAATAAGAATAATAGGACAATGTTTATATTTAACATAGACAATCTTTGCACATTTTGTCATTGCAGCTCACTGAGTGCCTGGACAGCCTTGAGGCAATGCGGCAGGTGGATGGCCCGAAGCTGGAGCGATTTAGAACAAGTGTGCGGCAGTCGGGCCAGTTCAGAGAAACTCCAATCCAGATGCGGGTAGGCCGTGGCGGGCGTGATCCACTGGTGGAGCTGGACAACATCAAGGCTGTGTTCTTGGAGAGGATCCTGGAAAACCTACGTGCCAGGTTTCCCCGAGTTGACCTCCTGGAAGCAATGAAGGTTAGGATACATCTGAAAAAAACTTGCAAAATTTTCATTAATGTTGGTAACATTGACTGAATTTAATGATCAGAAAATATTACTGCTTTATCATCTTCTTGTTGATACATGTGCTGACCCTACGACTTTCAGGGCTACTGGACTGATGAATTGATGATAACTATAATATCATTATCAAGTCTTGTAAAACAGAGTTTACTTCTTGCAGGTCTTTGAACCAGCCGCATATCCAGCAGACGACAACAATGTGGCCCTGGCCTACTGGGGGAGGCGAGAGCTGACCACCCTCCTGGACCACTACGCAGAGCAGAAGCAGACAAGGGATGGCAATGTATGCGAAGGCTACATTGACAGGTACATCTGCGAAGGGCAGTTTGGTGCATTTAAGCAGGCCGTGGCAGCCCGCTTCAAAGGTGAAGAGAGGGTGGATGAGGATGGAGAGGCCACCTTCCACTTCTACCGACCTACAGAACTCCTCCAGAAGATGTTTGGGGGTCGCAACGCTGACAACCAGCGGATCTTTGGTGGTGAGTGGATTTGATCATAACATTTTTCTGTAGACTCTTTCTGTTGTCTACTGTCAATTTAGTAATTCTCTTTCTATTGATACTGTCAGCTTTTTTAATTTGTAGTTGCTTACTATGCATCCAGTTTTCCCATTTACTTCTTTTCCCAGCAGTGTTAAACTTTCAAGCTGTGCCCATTCCTGAATGTACTGATCACTGTGATCAGCATGGTGATCAGCAATGCCATTATGCCAATAGTAATAAGTTTGCTCTTCATGTATTTTTTTCAGAGGTGTTCAAGCTCATGTGCTGTTGCCTGATTGTGCTGGTCAGCAATGCCGAGGCAGAGCGCGTGTTTTCCTGTCAGAACAGGATCAAGACGAAAACACGCACTCTCCTTGGCATTGAGCAGCTGGACCGGCTCATCAGGCTCAGCTATGCCCGCATTCCGATGCCTGAGTTTGACTTCCCTGCCGCCAGAGAGATGTACCTCCGGGCCCCCAGGCGCTTGTAAATGTAGAACTAAGTCTTGTAGAAGTATTTTTATAGCAAACTTTTCTTGTTGCAGTATTAGTATAGTGTAGTAAAGCAACATGTATTCTCAACTCAGGTTTAGATTTCTAAGTATTTTTATAGTTATATTGCTGAAGTAAAGCAACATGTATTCTCACTTCTCAGGCAATCTCAGATCTACATTTTCTAAGTATTATTATGTATTCTCAGGCAATCTCTGGTCTACATTTTCTAAGTATTTTTATAGTTGCAGTAAAGCAACATGTGTTCTCAGGCAATCTTAGGTCTACATTTTCTAAGTATTTTTATGGTTGCAGTATTGTCATAGTCATTGTATTGTCATAGTCTTTGGAGACTGACTGACATATATATGTTGCAGTAAAGCTCAGGCTAACTTATATTGTTGCAGTGGAAGAAAAAGCTCAGGTCAACATGTTGCAAGTTTAAGGTAAACCAGTAGTACTTGTAAGTAACACATTAAAGAAAGTTTTATTACTTAAGATGAACCTGGCTTGAATTTTTCTTATGTTAAGATTGTAGTTTTCCACTCACATGCCATGCACACATACCTCCCTCCAGTCCAGCCTTAATATCAATACAAACATGATGTCACAAAGAAAAAAAACTTGGCTCTATTGCTCAAAATTTGCACCTCAAAATGCAGGAAATCGCATTTAAGAGCGTTCAGATTTTAAAATTTTCCGGGGGGGAATGCCCCCGGACCCCCCTAGAACACTCGCGCCTTCGGCGCTCGCCGCGGCGCCTGCGGCGCCGCTCGCCGCGCGGCTTCGCCGCGCAAACAGAAATACAGTACAAGAAAATTTGGACACCCACTTAAAAATTCCTGCCTAAAAGCCTGCTTGGTATTGCTTGAAAAACAATCATGACACTTTTTTTATTTCCACATTCTCCCTCTAGTTTTAAGACAGCTAACTGTAGTCCAGGTTATTGATTTCAAGTCAGTTTTTCCATTGATTTTTCAGTATAATTAGATTAGGCATTTCACAGCCTCTTAGCTCTGAAAGCAGCTATAGCTTTTAAAAGTCAGATAATAGCTGAGGGTGAATAGATTTTCCGATTGACAGATTACTCGTAAAAGTAAGTTGCACATAATTGGGCATTAAGGTTTGATGATAAAAGTCCTTGTCAAATATGGCCTTCCAAACACTGCCACACCTAACCATGGTCAGGAGTAGGGCAGGAGCTAGCTATAGGTTGGCTGTGGTTGGCTACTGTTGCAGGATTGTTCAAAATAGAGAATAAGTCCGTGAGCTCTTTCTACATAAACAATGTGTCCAGGCTTTTACGTAAAAGTTCACAACCGTCGCAACCGTGGGTGGTGCTGATACTATAGATCCTGTCGAGTTACTGTAAATTTGATTATGGTGGCCTTTGAGACAGGAAGGCTTTTGAGTCAGCCTTTCAGACGGATGGGTTTAGGAATGCTCTTGCCAGATGGGAGCAAGGCCAAAAGTGTTGTTGACCAAAGTGATAGGTGTTCTTACTGTTGGGGATGGTCTCAAAAAAGGAAATTATTGCCTTTAAATTTAAAATTAAAGGGACCTCAGCTATTTGTACTTTACTCATACAAGACACTCTGATAAGATTTAAACACAGTACTTGTTTTTCCTTTGTTGTTGCAAAGATTGATTGAATCAAGTACTAAGCTGACTAGTAGCATTAAATACGTTACCTTTGAAATATTCCTGTGTTTACCTAGTCTATCAAAAGTGTACTTACTTGTGATCAAAACAAAAATTAAGACCCACTTAGACACTTTGTAAACTACTACTTCACGAGTAGTGAATCTTGTACAGGTATGTCTTGTGGTAGTAGAAATACTTTCACTTGTAAAAATAAGCGAAACACTGGTTTTTGAGACATTTTTTTCTGTTCTAATCTGATTTCCTGTGTCCATTTATGTTGTATGTTAGAAAGAAAGACCTTCATTTATTCAGAAAAAAAGCAAGAGAGAAACACCAGGTTTTGAGACGACTCCTTCCTTTCTAATCTGATATCCTGTGTCCATTTTGCAGAACTATGACACGTCTGAGTCCAAGTTGCGGCGAGAATTCGAGGTGTATGGGCCCATCCGATCGGTAAGTGCACTTACTGCCACCCAAATGGCCCTGTGATGGACTGGTAATGGCAGCATTACACATCTGCACCTTTGGTCAAAGGGAGACTACAGGGTCAGGCACTTTGGATAGAAATATTGGGTGTTTTGACCACAGAGGATATGTTTAAAGATCAAGATCATGACTCTTCTTGTCAGGCATTTGTCCATCTCATGATCAGTATCCAGGACTTGAAATCCTTTTTTCTGAATACCAGCACTGGTGCAGGTAACATTGAAAATCACCTTCACCAGACAGATTTTACCTGCACCACTCAGAATTTAGGAAGTACAGATCATACTAAAAACTGTTCAGAAATATGGCATTATTTTCATAGGAGGTAACAGAATTAGAATCGGTCCAGAAATCGGTCCAGAAAAGAGCGGCCAGATTGGTTTCAAATACCTATGATACATATGCCAGCACTACCAAATTGGTCACAGATTTAGGGTGGGACACATTAAAGGACAGACGCACAGCAAGTAGACTCACATTACTGCAGAAAGCAAGACACTCAAAAACAGCCCTTCCGGTCAAAACCTTGTTGACGCCTATCCCGCGCCAATCGCGACACTTCAACTGCAACTCATACAAACCACTAACGTTTCACAAAGACTGCTACAAATATTCATACTTTCCACAAACTGTCAGAGATTGGAACATTTTGCCCCAAGAGATAAATAATACTGCAGAACCTACGAAGTTCAACGCTGCAGTACTACAACACCTGAGGACGCAGCAATAACGCATCGCACAGCTCCCCTGCATGCTTTACCCCAATTTAGGGGTGTCGTGCAGTACCCGAACAAGATCAAGATCAAGAACAGTCAATGCAACAAATACGTATCCACATACGTACATGGACGAGTGCATGTTTGGTGCTGGTAGACATCAGAAATACAATGTACCTGCACGGCCCCAATTTTACCTACACTAATCTGCATATACAGGTGGTATTTCCAACCCTGTTAGAACTCTGAAAGTTACAATATGGAGACCAGGATGGAATGATAGTAGCATTAAAAAACACATCTGGACCACTGTTCAAGGACATGAAGTCATGCATTGATAAAAAGAAAAGAAAAGAAATTTGTATTTGCCTGCAATACATAGGAATTTCTTTGACTTTGATTCTAGACAGTGTGTAATGAAAATGATTTCCTGGAGCTAATGGTAAAATAACTTTTCTCTTTTTTTGACAGATTAAGATGACGAAGGATGTGAACACAGGGAAGCCTCGTGGGTACGCATTCATTGAGTATGAACATGAGCGAGACATGCACTGTAAGTATTGCTTTAATTTGACCATTCCTTATTGAGACACTACCCCTATGATCCAACTGTCCGTGGGATACATTTGCTCTCAATTAGGGCAGACTTGAATGTGCTTGAAAACCTTTTCAAACATCACAACAAATCTAAGCTACTTGGGGCATGGAGAAAAAACTCTTCTTATACTTATGACTGCAAAGCACTGTTCGGCAGTTTTTTTGTTTTTTATGTGGAGAAAGTTTAAACCAAGCTTAAACTTCTGCATTAGGCATTGAACCCTGGCCCTTGTCATTAAGCCCCCTTCACTGAAGTCCATAGACAAAGCATTCATTTTCTATACTCCTATTTCTGGCAAACAAACTGGATAGTACAACTACTGATGTGAGTTTGCAGAAAACATGAAACTATATATAATGTTCTATCGTCTGGTTGCTCTGATTCACCTTGAAAATGAGCCTGTTTTCTGTCCAAGAACTAAAGATTTCAGGAATTAAAACAATATTCTGCCTGTCTGTTTTAACCTTCTCCCTGCTACCTTAGCCATGTAACCAATATAAATATGGCGCCAAATGTCCGCCCAGCAGGGAAAAGGTTAATAATCATGAAGAAGTAACAGTTGAAGGTTTCCCTTCTCTTGACTGTGAGCAACATCAGACTAACTCTACTGGTTTTGGCCCCATACTACAGCATGTAGACTTCGAAAATTGAAGAGTTCACTGAAAATCAAACATAATTTCTGGGTCCCAATTTCCATATTTTGCCTGCAGAAAGTCTGTTAAAGTGTTAACAAATTTATATGGAAAAATACACAATCATGAGCAAAAGGTCCTTGTTTAATTGTGTTAAAAGCCACACTTGAAAAGGTATGTAGTTGTAAAAAGCGTAATTGTACTATGAACTGTTAAATGGCCATACTAATGTATTCTAATGCATACAAAGTTGCATTGATATGCAAAATTATGTCAGTTTTAAAAGTAAAATGATCTTTCTTTGCAGAAATGAAAGATCAGGCCAAACTATCATTAAAAAAATAAAGATGTATGTCATCGATGACTAAACTGTCTGTGCTATATTCAATTTTCTTGTACTAGACACTTGGTAAATTCAATGAAGTATCTCTGAAGTATATCAAGAGAACCCAAACCAATTTATTGACAAAACAGTCTTGGTATCTGTCTCAACTCTCACTTGTACTACAACTTACAAGCATTTAATTTCATTGGTGATAACCTCCATAGGAATGGAGTGCCCGTAACTAGATCAACTCTACAGCCAAAGTGCTGCATTCATCTTGTATCTGTTGCTATTATGGTCATTATAACCCTGTTCTAGTTTGTCTTTTTCCTACATCGGTGACCCCTTTTAAGACAATTAGGAGTGCTAATTGGTAAGGTAGGCTGCACCAACTTGATTCTATGATCACAAATATTCTCTTTATAAGACAAATCTGATATGAGAGTACCCTTTCCACAAATGTATTGGTCTCATTTTGCGATTGTTTTATTTTATGAAATGTTTCAGGTTGACAATTGTTCAGTTATATTGCCTTACAGTTTGTAGATATTCCTTGCTAATTTCTCGCTTTGTGGCAACTTGTAACAGACGGGTGGGCACTGTTGCACATCCTTGGCCATTTGTCTAAAAAAACCTCTCTAATGGAGCCAAGCCAAAATCAATACACACATGGATGTCATCCATAAAATTAAGTTTGTGCAGCCTAATTGTCCCGATAAGAGGAATGGTTCCACATTATTCCCCTCCGATAAGGCTTATTGCGACATTAAATCTTCCTAATGGGACCTTCTGTGTGCAAAAATTGTCCTGGGAGAGGACAAGAGGGGGGGGGGATGAGTAGTAATTGATGATGAGATCTGCCTCTCAGAGCCCCTGAAATGTTTTGGTAACTTGATAAAAGAGGTCCCTTGTTACAACGCTAAACACGACGTGAACAGTTGTCACCCTTGTAACGTGTGACCATTGACTTGGGAGCAGTGTTCTCGCCAGCTTCTCCTTTTCTGTTTATGATGGAAGTTCGCCTTTTATGACAGGCGAAAATTTTGCCCAATCCTCCATTCCTCTATTGAGTGGAAAGAGAGGTCATTAAACAAAGCTTAGTCTACTAGCAAAATTTGTCCTATAAAATGCAGGAACTCGTGTTTCAGAGGGTGAGAATTTCATAATTTTCCCAT